GTAGGTGCTGGCCCCATATCCTGAGGGTGGCAGGTTCAAACCCAACCCCAGCCAAACTGCAACAAAAAAATAGCCAGGCATTGTGAGAGGCTGAGGCAAGAGAATTGCCTAAGCCCAGGAGTTGAAGGTTGCTGTGAGCTGTGATGCCATAGCACTCTACCGAGGGTGACATAATGGGACTCTGTCTCTTAAAAAATAAAAGATCAGCCTAAGCAAGAGTGAGACCCTGTCTCTAAAAATAGCCAGGTGTTGTGGCAGGTACTTGTAGGCCCAGTTACTTGGGAGGCTGAGTCAGGAGGTTGCTTGAGCCCAGGACAGAAGAAATTATGCAGTGAAGGGGCTGGAGCTCTCAGGCACAGACTTCTTTGTCCTCTCCCTGGATCCCACAGCCTCCACAATCACATGAACCAATTCCTCTAATAGGTCCGTTCTCATATCTCTCTCTCTCCAGCTCTATTCACTCTGTCTTGCTGGAGAACGCTAATACAGTGGCATACCTCCATGGCTACCAAAACCCACTTCAGGCAGGTTTTTAACTCCAGCCATCCACAACTACTTAAAGTTCCTGAAATAAAAGCTACATCCTTTCTCACTTTTGGGCCTTTGTGTATGACCTTCTGCCAATTATATGACTTTCTTCTTCCTCTGGCTCTCCCTAACTTCTACTCATCCTTCAGTCCCCCCGTCTGGTTTTCCCTCCCTCCAACTCTGATGAGGCTCAGGACATGCTACCCCAAAATATGGCACCTTGGTGTTTAGAAGACAACAGAAGCAGGAAGGTCACTGTCACCTTCCCTTCGGCCTTCTCCCCTAAGCAGGTCCTAAGACCCTCATTCAAGAGGTATCCTCCTATACCTTTACCCAGAGGAAAGGAGCATCCTGATCTGTGAACACACAGGGACATAGACAAAAGCTACATAAACAGGCTTTCCTGAGTTCCCCCACGGTTTGTTAATTTAGAGCATATGTTTTATCTCATGGTGCTTCTCTAAATCTATCCTTTTCTCCGGGGGAGTAGGGGGTGGTAGGAGGTGGCTCACCTGAAATCCTAGCACTCTGGGAGGCTGGGAAGGTGGACTGCTTGAGACTATGAGTTCAAGACCAGCCTGAACAAAAGTGAGACCCCATCTCTGTTAAAAATAGAAAAAAACTAGCTGGGTGTTGTGGCCAGCGTCTGTAGTCCCATCTACTCAGGAAGCTGGGTTAAGAGGATCACTTGATCCCAAGAGTTTGAGGTTGCTGTGAGCTACAATGATGCCATTGCACTCTACCCAGGGTGACAGAGTGAGACTCTCAAAAAAATACTATCCTCTTCTCCATCAAACCTAGCACCAAATACACACAGGTTTGACTGCCTCTTTGGGCCTTCGTTTCCTTATGAAGGCTCCTGTGTCATGTGAAACTTATATTAAATAAATTTGTGTGCTTTTCTTGTGTTAATCTGTCTTTTGTTACAAGGGTTTCAGCCTTCAGCCTAGCAATGGTTAAGAGGAAAATCCTATGCCCCTACACTCCTCTCCTAGAGCTTCTGCCCTCGGTCCTAGGGCAGCTCTCCTCAAACTACTGTAATTATCTATGCAGTGTGTCCGTGTCTTCCATCAGACTGTACTTTGTAAGGGCAGGCACTGTGTCATGTTGAATTTTGCAGCCCTAGTGCCTGCCACATGATAAGTAGGTAGGTGCCCAATAAACAAATATTTTCTGGCCAACTACTAGATAATTGTCCTCCATTAAATTGTCTAGAATACTGAGGGTTAAGAAAACAAAATCAGGGTGGCACCTGTGGCTCAGTGGGTAGGGTGCTGGCCCCATATACCAAGGGTGGCAGGTTCAAACCTGGCCCCAGCCAAACTGCAACAAAAAAATAGCCAGATGTTGTACTGGGTGCCTGTAGTCCCAGCTACTTGGGAGGCTGAGGGAAGAGAATCGCCTAAGCCCAAGAGCTGGAGGTTGCTGTGAGCTGTGATGCCACGGAACTCTACTGAGGGCAACAAAGTGAGACTCCGTCTCTAAAGAAAAAAAATGGCTATCAAACTCTTAATGTTTCTTTACATCCCATGAATACATACACATGCTGAAGGGGCAATCTTTCTGGGTTAGAATCTATTCTGCTGTATGTTGAGCCATCTGATCTTTCTAGTTTGGGCAGTTCTGACGACAAAGTCCTCCTTCTAAGCTTGGTCTGGTGTGTTCCCCTACTTAATATCTGCCAATTCATTAAGAAATTCTGGACAATTATTTAGTGTGTCCATGGCAGGGTATGTCTCTCCACTTTCCCTCCCAAGGACAATCTACCATAACTTTTTCAGTTTGTTATGGAATAGATCTGATAAAAGAGGTTGCTATTTTTCCTTCCGGAAGGTGTTATTTTTCCCCTACCTTGGCTCCATTATACAGATGGGAAAACAGAGACTTCCACAAATAACCTGGGACATGCTAGTAAATTTTGCTGAATATGATGTCTTCAGAAGTAGTTTGTCAGAAATACAACCAACAGCTGAGCACAGTGGCTTATGCCTGTAATCCTAGCACTCTGGGAGGCCAAGATGATGGATTGCTTGAGCTCAGGAGTTTGAGACCAGCCTGAGCAAGACGTGACCTTGTCTCAACTAAAAACAGAAAAAAAACCCAAACTAGCTGGGCGTTCTGGCAGGGGCCTATAGTCCCAGCTACTTGGGAAGGTAAGGTAAGAGGATGACTTGAGCCCAGGAGTTTGAGGTTGCTGTGAGCTACGACAGATGGCACTCTACCCAGGGCGACAGAAAAAAAAAAGTAAAGAAATACAACCAATGGCATTTAGTTCCTTCTGGGCACATGTAAGGAAGCTGGATATAGGAAAAAGACAGACAGACAAGCAGAGACAGTGAGCTGGTGTTTGTGTGCTGGGATGTGGGCCAGGTGTTTTACATAAGTGATCTCATTTAATTCTCACTATAGCACTGGGAAATAGGTATAATGATCTCTCTCTCAACCAAATGATACTTTTACTTGGGTCTCAGGAGAAACAGGTATTTTATGACCCTTCGAAGAGTCATTGTAAAGAAACTGGATTTATTAGGAATTCAGTTTGCATCTTGCTCTAGCCACTTGGGTCCAACAGGAAAATTAGCTTCTCTTTCTAGCATAGTTTGCAGACTAATAAGTAAAATGTTAGGCAAAAAGACAGAGTGAGAAGGACAGCAGTTGATATCAGTCTTCTGTTTGCAGCTATCGTTCAACATTGTTCAGCAGACTGTTTCTTTGGCCTCACATCTTCATTAAGTGTACTAGAAAGTGATCTGGGACAAAATGACTGCCAAAGATTATGGATCGAGATAAAACCTAAAGTCTGAAAGTAAGATTTTTCTTGTAATTGCTTTATTGAGATGTGATTCACATATCACAATTCACCTATTTAAAATGTACAATTCACTGGGTTTTTTTGTTTGTTTGTTTTGAGACAGAGTTTCACTATGTTGTCCTTGGTAGAGTGCTGTGGCCTCACAGCTCACAGCAACCTGAAACTCTTGGGCTTACGCAATTCTCTTGCCTCAGCCTCCCAGGTAGCTAGGACTACAGGTGCCTGCCATACGCCCTGCTATTTTTTTTGTTATTGTTGTCTAGCAGGCCCTGGCTGGGTTCTAACCCACCAGCCCTGGTGCAT